CGAGGAAGAGGAGGAGGGCCGTGCTGCTCGTGACATTTTGCGTACACGCACACGCGCGCTCTCCGTTTCTCCCGATGCCCTCGCCTCTCTCGATTACACCGGGTGCGCGAGTGGGCACGCATAGGTGCACTCTGCGGCGCGTGTAGGAGGTGGGGCATTCAGGCTTTATCGGTCGTAAACACGCGAGTAATTATCGTAGCCGGCCATCTTGGCCCGCAGGCACGTCACATCCGGTCACTGACCATTCAATCGTTGCGATCCGAGCTACGGCTAATAAATAATTCAGAAACAATGGGGACATCTCGCCTCCGCCTCTGCTGAAAATCCAACGAGAGTGTGCGTGTACGCGCGTGTGCGTGCGTGTGCAGCGCCGTACCGCCGTGCCGTCACACCGCCTCGTGCCGTTAACCCCCTTAATGCCGGGATTACTGAATGAGAATTAACTGCCGCTTTCCGGTACCCCGACAAGTTCAAGGTTTTCCTGCAACTCGAACGCGATACTCGGTATGAGCCTACCTCGGCGTCGACGTAGCTCGACGAGCGTTCCACCGGCTGACGGAGACGAGAAACCCGAACGCGAACCGCGAAATCGCGAATCGTTCGAGTTATTCGAGTCCCAGGTCGCGAGAACTCGGCATCGATGGTGGGTCGAAAAGACGGGCGAAACGAAAGCGCGGAATCGTCGGGGAAAATTCCTCGGCATAGTCGCGAATTCCATCGAAACGAGACGTTACCCAACCACGCGGATTGCGTAACGCGCGAGTTACGTTGCTCGACGAAGATATACCGCGCGCGGAGCAGGAAACTTTTCGAACGAACGGAACGAACCGTCGATGATATAATTCGCGTCGCGTTCGCTTTTTTCCACGCGCAGCTCGACCTTTTCCCTGGCGGATCGGTCCCAACTTTTTGCCTCCAGTTGAGGAAACAAAAGAACCGAACCGAAATACGGTCCACGAAAACGAGACACGAGATCCTCTGTCGGAATAGCTCGAGTCCGTCACGTGTTGCCCATACGGAATGGCTTCTTATTTTTTCAGACCTCTTGCCACTCTCGTAACTCGACAGCTTCGTCTTTGTGACGGGATGCGTTCCGTGGACGAGACCGTCGACGAATCGAGTGACCAGTGGCTCTCAATTTCTTCGATTTTCCCGCGTTTCGCGTTCTCTCGAGTGCGATCGAATTATATCACGCGGCTCGAGGTAGCCGAGCGACTCGAGCAACGCGCAAGAGCCGTTTGAAACGCGAGCGAAAGAAATCGAACTCGCCTCGTGTACGGATTGACCCAGTTCGTTTCTCCGTTGATCCTCGGTTCCTTTGCAAAAGACGCGCTCCGCTTTAATCCGCGCCACGCCGGACCGAGGAAAGACCGCGTCGCTTTATTTTCATCCCCCATCTCTGCCGGCCCGCGCCCCTTTCGCCCCGTTTGATAAAGGATAAACGACAAACGAGAGAATAGACGCGAAACGAATCGCGTGCAGCAACGGCAACGGGCGCTTCTCCGGCCACGGGCGTGCTCGAGTCTCGGTAGAAAGCGGCACGCGAACGGATATCGAGATATTGGGAAGAGGAAGGAGGCTGGTGGTGGGAAGGCGTTATCGCCGGTGAAAGCTCGGATCCGGCGGTAATCGAAGGAGCGAGATTGCAGCGAGTTTATGGAAGAGACGCGAGACGGGAGCAGAGATCGGCGTTAGTCGTTTTACGGGTAAATTAGGCAGTCGGCGCGCGGCTTGGCATGGGGCCTGCGAGTCTCGGAAGAAGAATAAGAAGAGCGGGAAGGAGGTCTCTGGCGGCTAGCCAAGCCTTTTATTTTTATACCGGTCCCCGGTGTCGTTCTCGCCGTCTTTACCCCCGATCGCCATTTTCCCCCGCTTTCGCACGAAATAAGTTTATCAACAAACGCGCGGGAGATCCTCGGCCGTTGCAGGGAGCGCCGGCAGAAATAGAGCGGCTCGAAAATAACCGCGCAAGACGAGACACGAACGGCTCGAGAAACCATTTTCCGATCCTCTTCCTCCTTCTCCGCGCTTCATTCACCGGCCGCTATCCTTTTTCCCTCTCGCCGAGCATCGACGCGACCTAGACGACGTCCACGACGACCACGACCGACCGCTCCGCGATCGTGACTCGCGACTGTGCCGAGCGAAACGCGCCATTATCGTTAATCGAATGCCAATGGTCACGCTGGCAACCGGGACGAACGAAACGAGATTCGAGACGGGTAGGGCAGCGAGAGTAATCCGTGAAAGGGACTATGACGCATCGCCGAGCACACACCGGTTCCAGGTCTACCTGTACGACGTTCGGATTCTGACAAAGCGTTTAAATGCCCGCCAGACGAGGCCAGCCGTGTCTAATTTCATCCCTGCGATGAGCCAGGTCAGGACGAGTCGATATCCATCGGAGTAGCAATTGCTTTCACCCTCTCTCTTTCTCTCTCCGCCAAAAGGATTTATACCCTTGTTTTTCCCAACTCTTCTCTCTTCGCGAGGGCAATCTCGCAGTAGCAGCGGGTAATCCGTTCGAAGGTTCACGGTTTCGCGTACTCGCGAGGTATCTCTTCCTTTCGTCGCGTCGTGAGCTTACGATATTTTACTTTTTCTTTTTCCCTTTCCCTTCGCGTCGAAACGCAGCTCCGTCGAATTGTAGGAGAAGCAAGAGTTGGCGTTTCATCGGGTTGTTGCGCGTTTAAAAGCTGTGACGGAATATCGACAGCCGGTTAATCGTCCGACAAACGCGGAAAATGAAATCTGCCCGGAACTACCGCGGTGAAACATTGCCCGCGGGCTTTACTTTTTGCGGGGAAAAGAGATTCCACCGCGAAACGGAAATCCGGCGTCGGTAAAAGGACTCGGGACAAATCCAAAATGCAAATAAAAATTTCACCACCGCGAAAATTCCGTGTTTTTCTCCGAGCGGAATATTTTTTCTCGGAATTCTCGACCACGTATAATCTCGTGACTTTTAATACATCTCCACTCGCTCCCATCGGAAATCCTCTTCTTTCCCGCTGAAAATTCGTTGCCCGGATTATTCCGTTTTCCGTCGCTTCTATTCTCCTAGCGTCCGAATTAATCGCGGAAAATCTGTCCACTCTGGTATAATTCTGGAAACGCGCCTCGGAAAACAAGGGAATCGATCCGCATCGAACCACCGTGTGGTAGACACGTATACCACCCGTAGTCGAGGAATCGCGTTGTTGTGTCCGCTACTACACGTCTGCCGTGAATCGCGGCTTTTAGTTTCTCCCTTGGCAACCGAGTAGTCCGATTTTCGCCGATGCGTCGGCCAGTTTCGGCTAATCCAAAAGCAAATTCGAGCAAACGCGATTTAGAGACGATGGAATCGCGGCAAAGTACAGTTTCGTCCGGGTACGCGGACTGTACGATGAGAAATTACCCGTTCCGGTCTCGCTTTGAGGTCGCGTCGAATTCCGGTGATCCGGTTTAAAGCGCGGGTCGAAACGAACCCAAACAAGGGCGTGTGTTCGGAACCGAAAAGCGTACCCCGATCGCGACTCTAAGCTCGGAGAGCGCGTTGGTAGCTGGTGGTGGTGGTGGTGGTGGTGGTGGTGGTGGTGGTGGTGGTGGTACACTCGGCGTTATTCGATCGGAACGCGATCGTTGCGAAACGCATTTCCTTCTTCGGTTGCTCGATGCAATTTTAACGCGGAATAATGGGTTCGGCTGGCGCGCGAAACCAACGAAAAGCGGCGTTTCATTTTTCCTTCTCTTTTTTCTTCTCTCTCTCTCTCTCTCTCTCTCTCGTTCGGAACAATAATCGGTCCAAGTTTGTTTCTGGTGCGGCCGGCCTTTTGCGCCCGCGTTCTGGGAATAATGGCGGGACGAGTTAAAATGTAAAGCAAAGTACGTTGGCGCTGTTCAATTACGCAGAGCGTAATGCATGCGGACCGAGGCCGAGGCCGAGACGGGACAGGAGGACAAACCGCAGTCGCTAGGAGACGCGGCACGTCGAGTTTGCGAATGCAGCCATCCACGTTACATGCACATGTCCATGTATTCTGGGTACATAGAGGTCTGCGCATCGGATAAACGCACCCCACGTATGCAACGCCGTTGCCCGCTCGAGTGCTTCTCCCCCTCCGGGTAATAACAGTAAATCCTTGGTAATAAATCCCTCTCCCCTGCTCCCCCTCCACGCCGCTGCTGTCTCTCAGCCTCGGCCTCTGCCTCCTCCACCTGTCCGTTCCTCCGTTTCTTCTTCCTCTCCCGTGCTTCGCTGCTCTCGCCGTTTCCGTTCCTCTCGGCATACATCGCATTTCTCCGCTGGTGTCCGTTTCATCTCGCTACCGCTATCGTCGCTTCGTTATTGTTTCCGTCCCTTCGCGATTCCTCCGAAACGGCAACGCTCTCTCGCTCGGGATCAACCTATACTCCCGTGGCAGCTATCGCGTTTCCAGCGCGCTCGCGTCCACGCCCGAGCCCCCGTGTGCAAAGGCCAATTCCCAGGAGGATGTGCGAGAGCCCCTTGGTTCTCTATCGAGCGAATCGCCGCGAATCCGATCGGGGTCAAGGAGACGAAAGCGACGTCCGCGATGCATCGCGCGTCTCGAAGGTCGATCCGAGGGGGATTTCGATTCCGTGCCTCGCCCGAACCACCATCCATTCCGATATTTTTCTATCCTACGGACGGGCATGAGTCACGCACCGTTCTAACCCCGACTGCGAATCCCATTGCGAATGCAACGCGTAATTCGTTACCCGCATAGTTTCACGTTTACGCGTTACCGAAGGTGACCGAGGAGAAGAGAGGGAGAGAGAGAGAGAGAGAGAGAGAGAGATTCTTCTTCGTAATTGCTCGCGCGACACGGCATGGCCGATCGGGATAACAGGCTACGTTCTAATCGATCGACCATAATCGACGAGGAAGGGACGAACGCGGTACGCGAGGCAGGGACAATCGCTTCCGGTTAGCGCGTAAACGAAATTCTCGGGAAACGAAAACGCTTGATCGTTTGGTTTTTTAAACGCTGTTTCAGAAAAGAACTCGGCGCGCAACAGTCGGCGACGACGCGTGAGCGAAGGTGCCAGTCGCGAGAGGCTAGAGAAAGACGGCGAAAGCAATTTATCGACGCGACAGGAAGACCGAGAGAACAAGGGTCCAACGTCGGGAAGACCCAGCAATCGCATACCGCGAACAGTATTGGAAGAGGCGAACAGCGCGTCGAGCAGTGCCTGCAAGTTACGGAAACGGGGCACCGCGGTAAAGAGCCCGGTGGAGAGTCCGTCGCAGAGACCGGTGCGTCGAAGGCCCAGGCTCGGTGGTCAGGAAACGAAAACCGAGGCGGAGGAGGATACAGAGCACTCGAGCAACGCAAAGTCGGCCGAGAAGGAGGAACGGCTAGGCAACAGATCCGGCGAGGAGGACGAGGAGGAGGAAGAGGAGGAGGAGGAGGAGGAGGAGGAGGAAGAGGAGGAAGATCGCGCGGAGGAAGAGGACGAGGATCAGGAACGTTGCGATCCTTTGACCAAGAGATTGAGGACGAGTCCGATCGGTGGTAGAAAGCTCAGGTCCGAACGAAAAGGAGGCGCGAAAGGTTGCGAGGAAACCGCGTCCGATCACGAGGAAACGGAAGAGGAGGAGAGAAGGAAGCAGGAAAGTTCGGCCGAGGTAGAAGGGGAGAAGAAGCTCGAGGAGAACGAGGAGAGTCAGTCGAGAGAGCGAGACAGAGAACCGGAACCTCCACCTTCGAACAAAGTAGTAGACCCTGGAGGCGACACGGTTGTTCGGCAGAGGCAGGTCGTCGACGCGGATCGGAAAGTTCGAACGAAGGGGGATCGAGAGAAGAACGGGAAGGAGGAACAGGTGTTGGTGAATGGATCGCTGCTCGACTCGTCGCCGTCGGTGGTCGTGGACAAAGCCAACAGCGTTGTCCTGCTCGATGCCGAGGAGGCGACCCTGCTGAAGCCGAACGCGAGCGACGAGTGCGCCAAGGGCGGTGGTAAAAGGCTCGAGGAGGAAGAGGACGAGGCCGAGGGCGAGGGCGAGGGCGAGGACGAGCGCGAAGACGAGCACGAGGACGAGGACGAGGACGGAGACGAGGAGCCGGAACATCGGGAACGTGTACGGGGACAGGAGCAGGAACAGGAAGAGCCGGAAGGGCAGGTAAGAGCGGGAAGAGCAGGAAGAGGAGGAAGAGGAGCGAGGCTCGCGAAGAACCGAGCTGACTACCGAGCTAGGCACGGAGGATAGCGTGGGTAGCGTGAGCGGCGCGAGGGCGGCGAGCGTCGAATCGGTGGTCGAGCTGCTGGAGTCGAGCAGTCAGGACTCAGGCTCCGTGCTGGAGAGGCTGAGTCCGCTTAGTAGCAGCGGCGGCGGCGGCTCTGGCAGGCAGAGCCTGCTCCTGGAGCAGCAGCGGGAGCAGGAGCGAAACCGGCACAACGAGAGTCCTGTCATTCTAGCCGAGAGACTAAACAAGCCGCCACCGCCGATAGCTGGTCACCATCATCATCACCTGCAACATCAGTACCATCAGCATCACCATCACACGCCGCCACACCATCACCAACAGCAACGCTATTCCACCGGTAGTCCGGTGATACATCACCATACTCAACAACAGCAGCAGCAACAACAACAGCAACAGCAGCAGCAGCAGCAACAACAACAGCAGCAGCTGCACCAACATCAGGTAGCGAACAGCCCGCACCACCAGCAGCAGCAGCAGCAGCAGCAGCAACAGCAACAGCAGCAGCAGCAGCAACACCAACAACAGGCGCAGCATCATCATCAGCTGGCCTCGTCGAGCCTCCTCGAGGTGCAACAGCAGTCTCACACATCGAGGGGCGGCGATGAGGCCGGCCTCATGGAAGTGGAGGCCGGGGCCGGTATACCTGGAAGCGGAGTGCTCACCGGTGTGCCAGCGGCGGTCGGTATCCGGGCGGTCGGAGCCGCGGCTGGTAGCGGCGCCGCGAGTGGAACCTATGGGGACAGCGGTTCCGACAGCGGGGTAAGCTCCTTGAGGAGCGCCGGCTCCGGCGACGAGAGGAGCGGTAGCAGAAGTTCCGCGCTCAGCGTCGACGAGACCACTACCTCCTCGACGCCGGCGGCAGCGGCCACACCGGCCAGGGTCTGGCACGTGCAGAGCGTTCAGCACACCTCCTTACTCATGGCGCATCCACAACCGCCTCCTAGCGCCGGACCGAGCTCCGCGGCCGCGGCCGCTGCGGCAGCCGCTGCCGCTGCCACCGCTCCACCGGTCGGCTATCAAAATCCCGCACCGCCACCCGGTCATCATCATCCCGCCGTAGCGTCCGAAATGCTTTGGAGGTCGCAGAGGTATCCACCGTTACCGCACTCGTTGCTCGGACCTGCTCAGCCCACCACCGAGGAAATAGTCGAGAGGGAGAGGATGCTCCGGTGAGTGTTGCCTTTATTTTCAATCGCGTACCGGTTTCTCCAGCGATCGGTACGCGCCACCGCGTATTTTCTCTCCGCTCTCTGCGACGAGAGTGTACTAGTAGTAGTCGGTAACGAGCGAGCGATGCCCGATATTCTCGAAGCGCTGTTTAGGCATGGTCATCCGTAACGATAGGACGAGCTCCCCGTAGCGGTGCAATTTTTCGATTCGCTTGGCTCGGTTTCAATAGCGCCGCAGTTTTTGCACCTTGCGTGCACTTGGCTCGGTCAGGAAACGAAATGCCATCGGGGAAGTGAACGTCTCTCTGGAGGCAGCTGCGTGCAGCAGCGTTTCTTGCGCGCGACCTCAGCCTTTCCAGCGTTCTTTGTTTGCTCTGGCGTGACTGCCGACTATAACAGCAGGGGAGGAGACGAAAAAGCTTGGCCACTGTGGAAGGAGACACGGACGTGGCTGCGCGTGTACCTGCCCGCGTTTCCGGACGGCAGCTGCGACCGCTGCCAACTTCCGTCCTATTATCGCGATAGGCAAGGTTGCATCGGCTCGCGTTCGCCACTCGAACCGAGCGCGCGAACTCGTCGCTTCTCTCGAGGTCGCGTTAACGGTTCCAAACAGCTTCCTCGCGAGGAACGCGCGCCAGACGAAAGGTGGAATCTTCTCGAGATATGATACACGGTTTCGCGAATCACGACGAACTTTGTCAGGATAGGGTGTCTAACGTCGCGACGTTAGGGACGCGAAGGTAAAAGGAAGCACAGAGTAGATAGAAGGGTAGGGGCGAGGGTACCACGATTACGCGTTCCTTCCACGACATTGGTATTGAACAGCGCCCTTCGTTTGTTGGCTCGTTCGTGGCGGCTTGGACGAAAATAAACCTGCCCCCTCGTACATACCACAGATCGCTTTCCGTTCGTTTATTTGCGTCCGCGAATGCACCAAATATCCCGCGATACGCTGGAAAACTAGAGCGCTCGTTAGAACGGTGGTGCAACGGACAGGCTGGTAGAGGAGAATCGTTGTCGCGTAAATTCGTTTCATCGGGGTGTCGAAATCGTGTCGTTCGTCCTACGCGCTCTTTTTCCCGGTCTATCATTGATGCAACGACGCGCGTCAGCGTGTAAATTGCGACGCAACCGGTCATAGGTTCTGGCAATTTCGACCTATCCTCGCAGTCACGCTCGTGCTTCGACTCGAGCGAGAATCGAGGGGATCCTACGCGTCTCGGAGTAACCGAGCGCGACAGCGCTTGTAGCTTTTGGTCCCGTAGAGCCTGGCGATTCTCGCGAACGGGCTAATTTACGAGCGAACGGGCAGGGAAATGCGTATGAAAGACAGGGTAATAATTAGCACCGGTCGAATCGATCTTCCAGCGTTACGTAAAACGAGGGAATATCGTCTGGTTCCAAGTCGGAGGGTGATTGCATAGCGGCGAGTTGCAACAGCGGGATCTACTACTACCGCTGCTACTTTCTGCTCTACTAAATTGGTTTCGCGTATATTATACCCGGGAACGTTAATTCGGCTCGTGCCTTATCCTTGAATAATTTTTCCAACGAGATCGACCAACACGTATCCAGGATTGATCGTTGGTACGAGGCACAGATCCTGGCCGATTACAGCCTGTATTTTCCAATGTCACGCGAAATCTTCATTAGCTGGAAGATATTCGTGTTGGCCGTTGCGGAACGCACCGCGCTGCACCACGCTATACGCCATACCATCGCCCACCACCGCTACCACCACCTACTCGTTACCGAAACGTTCCCAAGCGAAAATCCTATACCTTCTCGATGGTTTCGTTGCTTTTCGCGTGCATCCATAGATCACGCTCCGAGAACCGCCTGATCGGGGCGATCTTTATCGGCGTAAAGCAATCGACGGACGAACGAGAACCAGCAGTGGCGCGATTCGAGCGCGTGAAATTCGTCGGATTCCTGGAAAGACCAGCTGCACGTGGATTATAGACGTCTGGCGGAGAAGGCGATCCAACGATGGAAATTTCGGCAAAGAAGCTTGGTCTCCTTGGCTGGGGTTAACGCGACGATTGGAAAGCACGCGAGTGGCGCAGTTGCGGTATCGAGCGAAATGCCAGGCGATGGGTCGGTCGGGTATCTCGATGGAGCAAACACTGCGGCAAAAGAGCGCCCAGTTTCGGACTTTTTCCTCGAAGGAGCACCGAGGATCACATAGCCCCGCTGTTATTCTGCTCCAAATACGACCAATTACGTGGCTTCTCCGTGTAACGAGCACGATTTAACGCTTATGCAAGTTCCCTCCTAAACCTTTCCGTGCGCAGAAAGAGGTAATCGGCGACGGCTGTGGCTACAGAAACTGGCATTTGGGCACAAGGTCAGACACTACCGCTTTTTTATCTCCGCTGCCTCTCCGTCTCTCGTTCATCTTCTTTTTCCACTTGCTCTTGTTCACTGGAAGACCTCGTCCAAGACCGTACGCTAACCGGTACGGAGGGAAAGGACGCCGAGGAATGCTCGGCAGGAAGCTATAAAAATACGTAGCCGGCTGAGTAGCAAGAAAAGACCACCGGTGCTCCCCCGTGTGTAGAGTGGCGTGTAGAGTGGCGGCAGTCTCGTCAAGGATCGCATCTGCATAGAAATATGGTCTCTCTACTGGTCGTTGGCAGTTTTTCCTAAATTGTTTCTCCCTGTCTTGCCCTCTCCCGTTGTCGGATAATGCGCGCCTCGTTCCCTGAAACGGGTTCTCGTTCGGCTACCTTGAAACGCGTTGCGTCGAATCTCGTTCACGCTCGTCTGCACGAAACGCGTTCGTTGATCCTCCGACTCGAGTATACATACTCGTGTCCGTTTCGTTTCGTTTCGTTTCGTTTCCTCTCGTTTCCTCTCGTTTCCTTCGTTTTTCGTCTTTCTCCGCCTTCTTCTCGCCAGCGAGAATTCTCTTCCTCTCAGACCACGACGACGACTACGACGACGACGACGACGACGACGACGACGACAGCGGCGGCGGCGGCGAGGAAACGACGCGAGAGCGAGTCGAAAATTACGCGTTCATTGAACGCGACTCGTCTCGTTGGCCGCGCGGATCGCCGTCCTTTCGCCTCTTTGACCGATTCCAATGAGTTCATTACGCAACCAATTGGTATCCATCACGCGCAGACTTTCTTCTTTCGTCCGCATCGAGCTCGGGATGCCATTGAACACCGCGGACGAGCAATTTATCTCGAGGTCATCGCGTTATCGTCTCTCACGGGCTCACGGGGGACGACGCGCGTTCAAAGGCCGTGTGGGCGAAACGCAGACAATGATCGCCACTCGTTATGCGGTTCACGTGGCACACGTCCATCAACGCGGACGGTTTGCACGCTGGTCACGCACATGCGTGCAAAATCTCTCTCTCTCTCTTTCTCTCTCTCTCTCTCTCTCTCTTCATCTTGCTCCTTTCTTTCCACTTGTAATTACCTATCGGCGCTTGCCACTACTCTACGCGTGCGTGCGTGCGTGTGCGTGGATCGGCCGAATCGGCCGTGGCAGATTATATATGCCACCGTGAAAGCCGAGTACGAACGACGCAACCGGTCCGACTAGCGAGCCCCTGCGGTTACGTTCCACCGTTTTCCCGTGAAATCGCGGAAATAGCCGCGTTTACTCGCTATCCGGTACGGTTTGCTAATTCCGCGGCGGAAAAACATCCCAGGAAATTTAGAGTCGAGGCTTTTTTTAAAACCTCGATGTTTTTGCACGCGTAACGCGAGAGGTTGCTCGTTCGCTACTAGCAACAATGCTTATTGACGTTATCTGGAACGTGTATCTACCATTTCCGTGGTACGCGTGTACCTTTCGTAAGCGAGACCGTCTATTTTCTCGAGAATCCGGGTATGCGCTAATAAACGTCTTTTTCCTCGGCTCGTGCACGCACACCGCCATTAGAAAAACCTTCCCTCGCGCTGTCGAATTATTTCGAACAAACAGCTGTTAAATTACTCCACTCGGATATTTATCGTTACCGCGAATAATCTTTGCTCGACGCGAACGAGCGAGCCGGGCGAAAGAAGGTATCCGCTCGTGTTACGCGTTAGACGCGTTCCTCGTCAATTTCTCTTAACGGGAGAAAGGCTAACCCGTTATCTCGAAACTTTGCAACGTTCCTCGACCGTCCGATTTTTCTACCGCGGCGAAAAATATATTCGCGGTAACGATACTCGTCGATTCCACGTCGAAAGAACGTCGTCGTCGTTGTCGTGGTCGTGGCCGTGGTGTCGTGGTAGTCGTCGTGGTGGTCGGTAGCAAAGACGTCTGAAAGAAAATAGGGGAAGGAAAAAAGAATGGGACAGAGTGGAAAGAGGAAATTCAGCGTGTAACCGATTCCGAAGGTTCGTTCAGCTCCATTGAGCTCTCCCATGTCGACAGAAAAATCAGCGTTGCGCCAATGACTTCCTATTTCCTCCTACGTGGGCTCTATTCGGGTCACTGACTTAACGAGTGGAATCCAGCCTCGAGACCGTATTCTCGGCTCGAAATCGTGTACACAAATAGCTCGGCGTATAATAATGCGCGAGATATATAGCTCGTCTGCTATAATTGAAGCGACGTTCTGGTAGGAACGCGCCGGATCAGACATAAATATTTGATCCTGAAACGTTCCCTGGTCTCGGTGCTCCGAAGCGTGCGACAGCGCGATTAACGATTCCCGACGCGTCTCACCTGCTCAATTTTAATTAACCGCCTAACTAATTAATTAAAAACTTCTTTATCGCGCGGCATTAAATTGAAACGCGAACCGCTCGTCTCGGTAACTGCAACGGAGGGGGGCAGAGAGAGAGAGAGAGAAAGAGAGAGGGGGGGGGGGAAATGGAAAAGCAGAAGAGATAATGGTAAAAATAAAAGCGAGATCCATTGGCGAAGAGATAGGCGAAAACGGAACACGCTGACACGGCTAAAACGACCGGTTTATCTTCGCGCGGAGAAAGCTCTCTCCAGACTAAGCAAATTCCCCCGGTTTCGTAAATTCGCTTCCGAAAGAGCCGGCC